TGTAGCGTGCTAGCCACTGCTCAGATGTTGTTTGTTGCTCTGAACCAGTCTCTGAAAGCATGATCCTGTGTCTCAGAGAAGAATTTATATTAAACACTGATAAAATATGTATTCCTGCCATCCACTTGCAATTTCCTGAATAATGGCCTTTTTATGGAGTGCTTCCTGGTCTGTATTTGTAGCTGCTAGCCCTGGAGATTCCAGTGTTCACTCAAGCTGAAGAACCACTGCCCTAGGGTATTCAGATAGCTGGAGAAATACATTGTGAATGGTCCTGGGCAGGGAGGTAAGCAGATGAAGTCAGGCATTTCCTGTACTGGGAGTGCATTTTTTGGAATTGGTCTGGTCCATCCGGTCAGCAGGCCATAAACATTTCAGATTTTAGGGCACAAGGTAAGAGTCACACGTGACTCAACAAAGTGGCATGGTGTGTTTCTTTGCACACTAGGCAATAGCTTCTTGTTCAACTGTTAAACAGAATAAGTCAAATCAAACAGATAGAAGGAAATAAGTAGAATAAAGGGAAGCTAAATGCACTTACAAATGAGCAAAAATTACTACTCATATAGGTCCTCTTTATGCCAAAATATTCTATTTCATTATGTTTTCAAATCCTACTTTGCATTTAAGTTTGCATTTTAGGAAGTGGAGTGAAATGAGTTAAATTAGAAATAGTAAAATTTAGTCATGAGTTTCTCATTTTAAAACAACCTTTTTCTCTTTTCTTTTATTAAATTGAAATGAATTTTTCATACAATATCTCTGATTATTGTTTCTCCACTCCTAACTCTAGCAAGATTTTCCCTACTTTCCCCATCTACCCAAATCCACATCGTTTCTTGCTCTTTCTCATAAGAAAACAGCAGACATTTAAAAGAAAAAATAAGATAAAATCAAAACAAACCTGCATAAGACAAAACAGTGTTTCTTGTGCCTTTTCTTTTTATTTGTTTTATCTTTCTGTCCCTTTTTAAATGTTACTTTTTTATTTTCAGATAGTCTTATATAACCCAGGTTGATACTCAACTCATCATGTAGCCAAGGATGACCTTAAACTTCTTATCTTCTTGTTTCTAGCTCCTAAGTGCTGGGAATACAGGTGTAGGTCACCATGAGCAGTTTACGTGGTGCTGCGGATCTAACCTAGGGTTTTGCAAGCACTCTACCAGCTGAGATAGATCCATAGATCTATTTTAATATGTTCTTGAAGGCTGGATTTTTGTTGTTGTTGTTCTTTTCTTTTTTACCAATTCTGTTTTTAGTTTGTTATCATTTTACTTCAATTTCTACGGCCAAACATTAATCAACGAGAAATAAGGTAATTCAGCCATGAGTTAATACCCCAATATTTGGGTACTTCAGTAATTGATTGTTTAGATGATGATCTGTTTGGAATCATTCTCCATCTTTACTTTCTCCTAGTCTTACTTTCTCTTGTATGGTAACTTTGTAAAAAACATTTTTACTATCATACTCTTTGTACTATCATAAGTCTTCTACTTTTAACATAAAGAAGCCTTTATGATGAAACTAAAATGTTTCTAAAGTATTTTTTAAAAACCTAATGGCTACAGAACCCTTAAAATCATAATGCTATTCACTCATATAGAGGTAATTCTAGTCATCTCCACCATGCCAGGATGCTTTCCAAACAACAGGGACTGGTTATGCGTTGTAGACACATTTTCTGACATTAATCCATGAGATAAAGGTAATAATATAAGGAATTCTTGGCCATGTTACTTTTACTACTGTTGTTACTGATTGCTATTGTGTTCTGATCTTTTAACCTGAAATGCAAAAGACAAACACATTATTGTAAATTGCCTTTCATGTTTGTGGATGTTTTGCCTGGATATGCGTCTGTGTATCACCTACAAGTCTTCTGTCCAAGGAGGCCAGAAGAGGGCATTGGATCATCTGGGTCTGGAGTTACACGTAGGCGCTGGGAATTGAACCTCCATCCTCTGGAAGAGCAGCTAGTGCTCTTATTCTTTAAGCCATCTCTCTAGTCCTCTGCAAACTGTTCTTAAAATGATTTACTATTAATTATAGTGTATATGTGGCTTTTTTTTCTTTTTGACATGGTCTCACTGTGTAACCCTGGCTGCTCTGAAACATAAATTAACAAAGATAAACATGCTTCTGCCTCCTAAGTGCTGGAATTAAAGGCAGGAGCCACCACAGTATTTCCTTTGCCAAACCAGTAAGTATAAAGCAAGCTATAAATATGTGATTGGTTCAACTAGTCTGGGGGGAAAAAGAGCCCAATATTTCTTCAGGACACGGGTAAACAGTACATATCCCTTAACATTTCAAAGAGTAGGGTTGAAGTTGTGGCTCAAATGGAGAAGACTAAGAAAGAGTACAAGAGAGGTTGTGTGTAAATAGCTTTTGGTGGTTGTGCTGATACTATCTATCCTTTCTGGAAACCAAAGCTTCAAAACTGGTAATTTAAAATGTTCCTAAAGTACTGATTAATGAAAGAAAAGAAAGTGTTATTCATCGCATATATGTATTTCCTGAAGAAGATTCAACGTTTAAAAAGGTTGGGAAAAAACCCTCAATTGCAAGAAAAAAGATAGCCAAATAGATTTAATGTATAATCTAGACATCTGCTGGTGTAGATCGACAGTAAGCACTTGTTTAGAAGGAGCAAGTTCCTAGGCTTAATTGTTATTACCCCCAAAATAGTATTATCAGGACTTAGTAATACTACATAATATGTCCAACACCACAGACTGTCTTCATTCACAAAGGAAAGCAATGGTAATTTGAGAAGAGTCACAGGACCACCAGGATGGCACAAGAGGTAAGGGAGGTTGCAGCCAGTGTGGCTACCTGTGTTTCATCCATAGGAAACACATGACTGAAGGGAGCAGAATTGACTCCTGAAAATCATCTGTTAAAATGCATACGTGCGCGAGCGTGTGCACGCATGCACACACACACACACACACACACACACACACACACACACACACACACATGCACCTAAAATATTTGAAAGAAAATAAATCAGTCCACCAAAGCATCATGTATACAGCGTATAATGAACAAATTTGAGTCAGTAGTACAATCACTATACTCGACATTTACCATTTTTCTCTGATGAGAACACTCCAAATCCTTACTAGCTTTGTTTTGAAATACCTATTATTGTAGCTACAGTAGTCACTCTGCTGTTCAACACGCTACTCGAATTTATTGCTACTGTTCGTAGCTTTGTCTAAAGTCTTCCACCCTGCCCTCTTGCATTTTCTAGTCCCTGATAACTGCCATTCTACTTTTTCTATTTTTGAAATCAGCTTTTTGGGGGATCCTACAAATAAGTGATATGATGTGGCATTTTTCTTTCTGTGCCTGGCTTATTTCACTTAATAACCTCCTGTTCATCTGTGCCACTGCAAATGACAGGATTTCATCATTTTTATGGCTAAAAAGTATTACCTCGAATATAGGCAGTATGTTTTCTCCATCTCAGCCAAAATGAAGGACCAAGTATTGGAGCCTGTTCAAGATGTTGACTGTATTTCTTTTGGATGTATGTATACCCAGGAGTGAGAGTGTTAAATTTCATTTTTACACTTTTACTTTTTGAGCTACCTCCATTGTCTTCCACTGTGGCTGAACTGAGTTATAATTGAACATTTAAACCAGACAAAACCATAAGCTCTTGCTCTGTGGTGGTGGTTCCTAACCTTCCTAATGCTGCAACTCTTTTAAAACAGTTTCTCATGTTGTGACCATAAAATTAGTTTTGTTGCTACTTCATAACTTTTAATTTTGTTTCTAGTTCATAACTTTTAATTTAATTTTAATTCTGTTATTTTAATCCATAAGTGTAATTTTGCTGCTGTTATGAATTGTAATGTAAATATCTGTGGTTTTCAATGGTCTTAGGCAACCTCTATGAAAGAGTTGTTCGACCCTCAGATAAATAGAGACCCATAGGTTGAGAACTGCTGCTCTAAGAGCTATAGAGCTTTAATGTCTTCTTAAGATGCTGTGGAGCCTGGTATCATGCCTTTAAGTCATTCAGTGGGGCTACATGACTATATTTTAAAGTAAGTCTATAGTAAATCGCCTAAACACACACACGGACACACACACACACACACAATTATGCCCACACTCAGGAAGACCATATTTTGCATTAAAAAACACTGAAATAGCTCAGCTTTGTACTTTTGTATTTGTTGTACATTCAGGTGTTATTGCAAATCATTTCATTTTTACCTTTTGTGACTTGCAGGTAGGTGCTTGAGTTTTTATTTAACTGACAAGCTGACAAGCCGCACTCTTCTCCATATGTGTGTCTAAATGTTATGTATCAATAAAGATAAAACAATAATTCCCAAGTGCTCATTTGTTCCCAGTCCTGACTTGAAAGGTTAGGGTTCTTGGCCCTGCCTCCTGCCAAGGGTTCTGCCCAAGACTTTGGAATGTGAACTCGCTTGAGCTAGTACCTGCTTAGCATAATTTCACTGGTGGCTTGTCTGTCTAAGGCAGTCGAGGGGATATTAAAATAGTCTAACAATAAAATCGCAATCAGTCAACCGTACAACTACCTTCTAAGGGGGAGGAGAACAGCTCCTTCTCTCAAGAGCCTGAGAAAGATCAGTTTACAGGCTCCAGTCCTGCCTGGGATCCTTCCTCCGTCCTCCATCTTGACACGGTCACAGGCCTCTGTGGCCATAGGTTCACATTAGCCCACAGCCAGGGCTCCTTCTCCCATGAACCACAATGTGCTCAGTTCTTCCCCTGCCCTGGCTTCAGATTGGGAGCCCGGCTGCTGGATAGTGACCTCCAGGACCCTGACTCGATTACATCCTGTTCTTACAATTCTTTCTGCAGTTCAAGGTGCCTGCAAGAGGGGTCTGGGGAACAGAAGACTGTGCACTTTGGCCCCCAGGTATCGGCGTCAGAGGCCAATAGCATCAGAAGCTAATAGCATTCCAGCTGGGCTGACATCTGCCCATGTGTCTCTTCTCGGGCTGCTGGCAGCCATGAGGGTGCTTCTTAAGTACGCTGCTTGCTTCTTGGCCTTTTTCTCTACCGGGTTTTTGATTGTGGCCACGTGGACAGACTGTTGGATGGTGAATGCTGATGATTCTCTGGAGGTAAGAAGCCAGTGACCTCGATTTTGCTCTAAAATTTCTGCCGGCCTTACTGCAAAACATGGACCAGTATGCTTCACAGGATTAATGCAAGCAAAGATAGACAGCAAGAGCAGACTGATTCTTTTGTTTGCTTGTTTGTTTGTTTGTTTGGTTGGTTTTTTTGAGACAGGGTTTCTCTGTATTATTTTAGAGGCTGTCCTGGAACTCGCTCTGTAGACCAGGCTGGCCTTGAACTCGAAGAGATCCACCTGTCTCTGCCTCCTGAGTGCTGGGATTAAAGGCGTGTGCCACCAACACCCAGCAAAAGTAGACTGATTCTTAATGAGTCTCAATACTGTTAGCTTATTTAACCCTGACACTAGGTGGCTATGCAGTTAAGTCCTGTTGTCCCATTTCACAGATGATGTAGCTAAATAATCCATCTATTTTTCCAAGGACACATTTGCACATCTGCCACAGAATCCTCCACATGTTTACCCCTCCCTTTTCTATATACCAAGCAGAGCACTGGGAGAGGCACACCTTCTATTTTCCCTAAGATAAATGTGTCAACTGATAAATGTGTCAACCTGGATGGCAAAGTCCTGTGAGAGACATTTGGGAGCCAGTTATCTGAGCTATTAAGCAAGTAAAGCCTGGGAAAGACCTTCAGAAAGAGTGTTAGTAATTTCAGGCCTTTGGGAACACGAACTCAAAGTGTATAAAACCCACTTAGTTAGTATAGCATGGTGGGGACTCTACATTAATCCAGAGTGAACTCAACGTGAACAGTGCAGGTCAGATAAACATCATGACATGAGGAACTCAGAAAAGTAAAGTGTTAATCTGCCTTCTCTTTTCTGTGCTTCCTGGGGGAATGGTCTACACCCACCAATGCTGTAGTGTCAGGTCTATGAAGGCTGAAGAGGATCCAGGGGCTAGGAGTGGAAGAGCTGACACGCTTTTGTTCTAAGTCTGTTTACTAGACTCTCAGGTTGGAGTTAGTGAAACTCATAATTCTTTTCCTATTTTGTTGTGGAACCTTTTCCTCTGTATGTGTGTGTGTGTGTGTGTGTGTGTGTGTGTGTGTGTGTGTGTGTTTTCTATGGGACATTTCAAAACCAATGGAGTTATAAATCCCTCCTTAATACTGAGAGTTTGTTTCTAAAAACTGTTATATCATTAAAGTCCCCCTGGGTCATCTGCTTTATAGTGAGTTCAGGGGATATAATTCTTGTGCACAGTAATGAAGAAAAAAATGTGTCCCTTGGACAGTGCTCAGGGGAAAGTATGCGTCTAACACTCTGCTACTATTAGCTTGTCATTATTCAGAATGCCACTCAGTCACAGGTGATCAATAGAAAAATGTGTTGCACTTGAGCACACTTTAAATTGAGTTGTAAAAAAATGTTTTTAAAATATGTAAAATCCCATCCAAAGTCGTTGGTTAAATATTATCTAAAACAGTTTGATAGTCTTTTTACTCTGAGTGAGAAAGTTATTAACCTTCTCCATTAATAAATAGGTTTTAAGAGCCAGGCTTGCTGAGAGGGAGGCAGGAACCCTGGTACTGAAGCAGCATCCTCCTTGCATTTTAGTTTGTCAATCAATTTGCCTTCCACATTGTATGAGAATATCACCAGTTCAAATAAATAAAACGAGCAGTCCAGATAGTTCGTTTTAAGTAAATTCTAATTTTTGAAAAGCTGGTACTAATATTTTTCCTACGTCAATGTGTTCTTCAAAGAGCCTGTAGGTGGAAACTACCCTATAAGCATTAGCCTATCCCCCTTTTCTTTTAATTATCTCTATCAATATTTTTAAAGAGACATCAATCTCTCTTAATAATTTCCTTAATTTGTTGAGACACAGCTTATTATTTTCTGCAAAAGCTTCTAATCATCATTGGACCATTTAGCTGTTCTCTCTGTTTTCCATATCACCACTAGTCCACAGTAGCCATTGGTTCACTTTCCTTAAACAATTGTTGGGTGGGGGGAGTAAGTGGAATAAAAATATGTAAATAAAAACATTTGAAGAGGCAGAAGAAGTATTCTGGATCATGGCTTTGTTAGTATAAACATATGGGTTGGAAAATTGGTTCTATGGTTCAGTTCAGCTTGGCAAATAATTAAATTGTAGGTCACGAAGAAGCTGCTGTGTCTGTGATACTGAAAGAGGAATGCACTGAGTACAGGGGGTAAACGATGAGCATGAACTGTAACAAATGACACAGATCAGTTCATATTTGAGAAGTAAATGAGCAGGATACCACTGGAACAGAGATGATAAAGCCATCGGTCCCCATTAGGCATATTGAAATGTGTCTTGTGGAGGAAAGGACTCTCAAGATAAGCCTCCAAGTGATGCAATTTCAAAGGGTAGAAATGACAGCAGGGACTTTTGAGGACAGGGCAGTGTGGCAGAAACACAGAATGAGGAAGTTCTGGGCTTGTAAAGGATATAACTCAAAACAAAAGGCAGAAAGAAAGACACAAAGAAAGATATCCTTTGGCTTTTACAGTGGTACACCAGCCTTGAAGGGTGAAATTGTTGGTATTTAGTAAAAACATTAGGAAAAAAGAAACAATATCCAGGAAGAACAATGGGTACAACCCCAAACAATGGACTGGGGGGCTCTCCTGCCCTAAGAATACTGGTCATGACACAAACAGTAGGCTGAGCTGCTCTCCTGCCCTCCCTGTATCCTTGAGTCTGTTGTTCCTGGGAAGACTTGGGTACTGAAGTGAATGGATCTAAGGGTTTTCAAGCCTATGGTCACTCAGCTCTTAGCCTGTACTAACTTCCTTCTCTTCAGCAATCACACCCTTTGTCTTCAGTTCTCTTGGAGGAAGGGATGGTAAGGGAGCTGGGACTGGCATGTCAAGCAAGCTTGTTTCTAATTTAAATTAAAAAAAGAAAAAATATGGAGTTAAATTCAATGGTCTGCTTGTCACCTCTTTTTAAAAATATCTGGATTGCCTGATGATTTGCAACCTCTGAGCAATGGCTAGTTATTGAGGGACCAAAAATATCCAGATCTTCATCAGAAACAAAACAACAGAAACAAAACCCCTTTTCTTTGGGAATTTTGTGTGAATATTCACTAGCTTCACGATATTCCATACACTCATTCCTGATCCCTACCTCCCCAAGCCCCTGTCCTCAGTATCTCCCCAATATCCTTCTACTTCTTTCTTCTTCCCTCTTTCCTCCCTCTTCCTCATCTCCTTTCCTTCATCTTTTTATCCATTTCATCTCCTTCTCTCCTTTTCTCTTTGCGTTCTTCCTATCTCCTCTCACTCTACAAACATTCATTAACACCTACAGCATGACTGTCACTATAGCAGGTCCCTGGTTATGAGAGTTGTGCACTCTGAAGCATCGGTAGGTGATTCTCAGTGTAGTGAGGAACACAAATTGGTGAACACAGATACATTTTGGCGTGACAAGTGCTATGCCTGAGAATGAGCGACCATGAGTGGACATCATGTTGTGCTTTGGATAGTTAGAGGAGACTTCTTAGAAGTTACCTCTAAGGAAGGACTGAAAAAGCAAGTGAATGAATAGAAGTAGAGAGTGTTCTAATCAAGCAAATGGAATGCATAGAGCTGAGGTGTGATAGTGCTCATGTTTATGCTATTGTGCAAATTTTTGGATGTAGACAGGAAATTATGGGGCTAGGAAATCAAAGGCTTAAAGTGTTATGCAAAATATAGGTCTAATCCCCATAGGCAAGAGCATCTCATTGTAGGCAAATATGTACATGCCTTCTAGAAATATCAGCCTTTTCTGGGTGCTTCTGGTGGATGGTCCAAGGAGGTCAATTGAGCTATGAAGATACTATCTAGAGGACGTTTGCATAAATCAGGAGGAAAACAGCAGTTGTGTACATGATAACGGTAGTAAGTATAGAAAAATGTGAAAAGACGTGGGGAACTCTATCTCAGATGGTTGGGGTTGGTGATTGACTGCCTGCACTAAAGAAGGTAATGGGGAGAAAGAACCTAAGGTTTAAATCTGCTGTACGTATTTTGGGTCACTGGCAGGATTATGGGATCACTGACCCAGTGGTCAAATGGAAATATGAATTTCTTTACTGAAGTCATGGAGCACGCTCCTGGGACAAACATCATTTTTCCCTTGGCTTAACTGAGCATGGTGGCAGAAACAGTTCTTCAGTGGGGAAGTGTATATATGACACCCAATGTCAGAGGGACCCAGGATAAGTTTCATTTATCTCCCCTACACAAGGAGAATGGTGGCTCTTATGACATAGTTTCTTGCGAGGGTTAAATAGGCCTGTGTATTACAAAATATTTACCACAGCACCCAGTAAACACAAATCAGCCAATAAATGCCAGATAGATTATGATTAATTTATCATTTGTTCTTTTGTTTTGTTCTGGGGGAGGAGATGATATTTTGTATAGTGCTCACTGGACTGAGAGCTTGAAGAATGGAATTCTTGCCTCATTTCTGCTATTGATCCTTCAGAGAAATGTTGTTTATTTCTCTGGGCAGTGATTTGCCCAGCTTTATACTTATGACTGATTATTGCTTGACTGGAGGAACAAGGCAGACAATGGGGTCCCATAGCAGAAGCTATCTATCTACCAATGAGTGTTCACAATGAATGAGGGCTAGGAAGATTAATCACATTATTATGATGCTAGCTATCTTGTAGGATATGTAGGTTGTAGTTAGGTGTCAATATGTAAAAGGAGTTCTTAATTGGTCTCGATAATAAAAGGCCAGAGTCAGATATAAAGGGAAATGCTGAGAGATCAGAGAGAAGGAGAAAGTCACAGTAGTTATTTATTTTTTTGCAGGAGTAGAGACAATAAACAGTTTCTTAAGAAAGTTTCTGGTCTCCCAATTATCAGAAGGGAAAAATGTTTGCGTAGGATGATTCGATTTCCAGTTAATTTTTTGCTAATTATTTCCTGGAAATTGCTATACTCTGAGCATCATTACAATTAAATTTTTATTACTTCAGAAGAAGGTTGTTCATATTAGAA